CGTAGGTAGTAGTAGTAGTACGTGTAGTAGTGGTATCATCACCCCCCCCCCAAAACGTCTCCTTAGGAGTCAAGGCAAATACCTTGTCTTTGTAAGTGAACATATAAAATGTTTAACATTATTTTTAAAAAGTGAGGCCAGCCCTCTGGGGGAATAAGTGGATGTTCTACAAGACATTCATATTCTGCTATTGTGTTAATCGCATTTAATTATTTCCTCTAACATGCTTCCTTACATTCTTCCAGACTAAACATTATGAGCAATAACTTCTTTACCCAATTTCTTTCACTGCATTTACTGTAACACTTCTCTTTATTGTTGCTATTAAGAAAATTCAATATGAAAATCAATTCTCTCTCTCTCTCTCTCATCTGCCTACCATCAATCTCTATATCTATCTATCTCTCACTCTCTCTCATTCTCTCTCTCATCTCTCTCTTTATCTGTGATATCTCTATCTATCTATCTATCTATCTATCTATCTATCTATCTATCTATCTATCTATCTATCATTAGATGCAAAAATTGCACTGAAATCACCATTAAAATGAGTTCAACACAGGAGCAGTCCCCTATTTTATAGGACAAAATTTTTGAATTCTGTTACATTGTTTTCTTCCTCCATATGTCACTCAGACATTTGGACAAACCTTTTCCCTCAGCATTTAAATTCACATTGAAGTCAACTGTTACTGCAATACCTGATATGTAGTGATTGTGATCATAGAGAATTCTGTGTCTTGTAGTACCCTAAAAGCATAAATTTGGGCCGGTGGTAAAAGCTATCAAAACATGGCAATTTCTGGGTGAGTGCATGTATATATGGGCAAAGTTTACCTGATAAGTTATGTAACTTATAATGCTTAAGTTACTAATGACTCACATGTCTAATTGATTGCATTGCTACTCTTCTAAGCGTGGCTAAAACTGGCTCTAACTGTTTTTATATTTGAGGGGTAAACAATATATGCAATTGAGAGAGCTATATTAGCATGCAAGTTTTAATTTCACAAAGGAGTAATTCAATTTTCCACCCTTTGAATCTGTAAACCGTGTGGCACTCTTGGTTGTATCTCAAGTATTCATCAGGTTTATTTCCTACAAACCCATCTTCCTCCCCATTTTACAAATGTATGGTTCATCACATTTAGTAATCCAGGGCATACATCACATTTAATAATCCAGTTTCAATGAAAGTGAGGGAATTATGGAATACTAAATTTAAATCTGCTACATGATGGGCTCTCTGTAGTGCCTTCTCAAAAGCTGTGATTCATGGACTGAAGGACAATGTCCCCGAAATCATGGAACTTTACACATTTTGAAGTCAGAAACAGCACTTTGACCTTGCAGGGAGATAATGTGATATCAGATTCTCTACCCCTGCCAGCAACCGCAACTGACAAAGCCCATCCTTGAAAGCTTAAAGACTGGGACTTCAGCCGGTCATGGAAGTTTTGGACTTTAATCTTCTTAATCCCATACCAATATTACTGCCAACATCCATGATCACCCATCTCATGTATTCCTTTTATGGTACATGTGCATGTACACACACAACCCACTTGGGCAATGTTTGGTTTGGGTTATGTTTCTCTAGCTGTATTGCAGTCTCACCAGTTAATGGTTTCTCTTCTATCCATCTTCCTTGGAAGACTCTGTCATAGCTTTTGAATCCTACCGTTCTAATTATTTTGATTTTCCTCCTCAGCAAAGCCCCAGGACCCCTTTCTCTGACCTGGCTGATGATGAGAAGATCTTCAATGGTGGAGACAGCGCCTGGCTAGAACAGAACCAGGAACATGCCCTGCTCTCAGAAATCACAGAGGAAGATGTAGAGGTCATCCGTCTACGGGAAGAAGCCATGAAGCAGATTGAGGTCAGTAACTATGATTTCAGGAAAGCTGGCAAGCTCCAAGCGTATGCTTCCTCATCTTTCCCTTTAGGATTGGAAGGAAAAAGAGACCACCCTGAATGTGGGAGAGGTGTACATTTGCTTCAATAAAATCCTGAATTTAGAGCAAAAGAGATTTGAGATTTTTCCAGTAGAGGAAATGTCTGCTGAAGGCAACTTTCCAATGTTTTGGGATGAATTCAGAGTTTAGGAGAGAAACAGGCTGGGCATCCTCTGACCAATCCATTTAGGATAGGGCTGAGCCATTTTTTTTCAGTAGAGGGTTGACCTGCCTGGGATCATGGGGGTCATGGCTAAAGTCCTCATGAAATTTCTCACCCTTTTAAAAAAATGTTACGGGTCTTAAGAGGAAAATGTTTTAAACCACACATTATGTCATCTGAAGACCCCAGTGGAGGAAAGAACTTTGGGAAATGGCAATGTCAAGGTTTTAAAGGGTAAAATGGGGGCTTTGAGATTCTCCAAGGTGTTGGCACCCATACTGTCTATCAACCTGTCCTAATAAAAATAATGGGGCAGAAATGTTCAGCCTCCATCCATTTGGGGTCATCACATTTCTCAGAAGGTCTGCAGGCCCCTCTGCTTTTTGGAAAATAATTGGGAACAGGAAAAGAGAGAATTTCTTTTGTGACAGCAGCTGTTGAAGTCTGTTTCTTTACAAGTAGTGATAAAGGCTCTTCTTTTAGTTCCCAATCATGGGGCTTTGAGTAGATGCATTTTCACAGCCCTTTCACAGTCTGGGTCTGCTGGAGCAGTTGCATCAGTGCTCTAAACTTCCAGAAATCTCATGAGAACCAGCATTCCCAGAAGCTTAGCTAGGATTTCTCTCCTGCTAACTCCATTTTCCAAGCCAGGATGTGGAGTTCCATCCAGTCCCAATTCCCCAGAGTCATGCAGGAGGACATGATCTCTCCATGACCTCTGGGGCCTTCCAGAAATTATAATAGGAGACTACCAGCTTCACCTTAGGACAGGAAGGCCTGGCGCAATATGGTTCATGGGGTCACGAAGAGTCGGACATGACTTAACGACTAAACAACAACAACAACAACAAAGCTTCACCTTGGCAAGAGAACTAGAAAGTACAGATGATGAGAACTGATGGATCCATCTTTCTACTTTCCATTGTTTAATGGAAAGTTCAGAACTGACAAGTCTCCTCTGAAATCAAAAGTGGAAAGGCCATCTTCTCTCTGGCTGAAGAACATAAGGAGAGCTTTCTCCAACTCTCAGAGCTTATTGTTGTGGTACCTCAGGGAGGATGTAGCAGAGCTCTTGGTAGCATTGCTGCAGCAAGCTTGCAATAGCTCATGTCCTTCAGGATAAACTCCACCTTTAAGACACTCTTAATGCTAGAGATGCCCAGAACATGATCGAGTGCTGTATTATTGGGTGAATTTCAGTTATTCAGTTACTGACACTTTGAAAGAATCTCTGCTTTTTTCAGCACCTTAGAGCTTTTTTTAAAAAATTTTATCCGCACTCAATCGTTACCGATTCTGCGGCGTCAGCCTGGACAAGTCCCTGCAGTTTTCAAGGCAAGGTGTTTCGGAAGTGGTTTGCCAGGGCCT